GGAAAGTGGACCAAAGATGTTTTCACTGCTTCTGCCTGTGAACTCAGCTATGCAGTATTTTGGGAGCCCAGCTTAGCACGAGTGGTAAGAGATTATTTTTTTCTGAACTTGTCCAGCATCGCCCAGTTAAATGAGGACATTTAAGTGCTGTTGTGTTTCTAAGATCTTGATGACTGTTTCCTTAGCTGTAGCTGAACTTCAGGGGAAGGCTGCACACAAGATTATGGCACCACCCATCAGAGAAAGAGCAAGAGCAAGGTCATCCTGTCCGCTTTGATCTGAAAGCAGAGGTGGATGCCTCAAATTCATTTCATGAAAGCCAACAAGGCTAAAGTTTGCCTGCCTGATGCCCATTATATTTGCTGGGACAAAATCGTCTTTACAATTGTTGCTTTTATATTTATGCCTTTTGGTTCTTTTAGTTGTTTGTCAGGGAGGCAAATGTTCAACCCTTGGAGTGCAGATTGAATTGCTGATTGTGTTTTTCAGAGGAAGCCTAACTGGATGAGTCATTTCAAACCACAAGCAGCATCTTTCCTGTTGTCAGGCGTTGCCCAGAGTTCACAAAATTCAGCATCAGCTGCAAAGGCTCCATTGCACTGTACGAGGAGATGAGCTGGCTCCTGCTAGTGAGAGCCGACATCTTGCACGGAGCCTCTTTTCCAACGCATCTTTTGTGCTACCACCACACTTTGATTTCACTGGGGAAAGACATGGAGGCATTTTTGCGATGCTCCTCACTCTGTGCCATGGGAAATACCTTTTCCTGCTGTTTTCTCTTGGTTGTTATGCGATGGCCGTGTGCATTTCAGGGCCAAATGAGAGACAACAGAGCAGCAGCATTAATTGGATGCATGCATCTGTTCTATTCACATATAAGGTGGCGTGAGTTTTCTCTTCTGTGCAGGAAAAAATTGTTTGTGGGGGAAGGAAGCAAAGCCTGGCCACTTCCTTCCAGCTTGGTTGTGCTGAGTTGCTTTGCTCAGAACAAGCCGGTCATGGTGCGACAAGGCAGGGATGGACTTGGCCTCCCCACACACATTTCTTTTCCTAGAAAGTGTAGACTCTCCAGTCCTGCTTTAGGTACAAACAGGTTTTCAGCAGCCTCATCATGTGGGCCTCAGACAGAGTGCTTTCACATTGCTGTAGTTCTTTGTGGTTTTTGTGAAGCACACATGCAGCGCTGCAATCTCAGGGTTCCTGCTTGCCTGGGACAGAATCTCGGTTTTCAGTTTGTGAGGAAATAAACATTCGGGTCTGTGGGAAAGGTCAAACATTTGAACCTCTGCTGCTTTATTGACCAGTGAGTGCCCCAGAACCTGCAGTCAGTCGTGATAATGTATTACCAGGTAGAGGCAAACTCAACTACAAAATCACAGCCCATGTACAGACACTTTTATAACCTGCTAGTCACATACACCAATACAGAGTGTTAAGTTTCCAGATAATCTTAGTACAATAGCATCCTGATGTCTTTAGGCATGACATAATGTTCTAAACCAATCAGAAATACTGGTAACAATAGCATGGAAAACATTGCTGATTGCTGTATTCATGGGTCAGTCCAGCAAATTTTTGACAGTTCAGGTCAGCCGGGTCTGTTGAAACATGCAAAAGTGCCAGGAAGTCAGGTTTAACAAGCACACTCAGCAGGCGCTTGCCTCTGTGGGACTTAGGTGGGCCCATTCAGAAGCAAATAGGCACTATTGTTTCAGTTTTGCACAGGTATTCACCTCCAGCAGCTTCTCAGTCTAGCTAATAATGCCACCTTCTCAAGGCAACAGCAATGCTAAACAGCAACCTGGCTAGAAATTCTGTTGCTTTGTGAGAAAGAGGTGTATATTTGATTTTATACCACAAAGGCACAAATAAGCAACATTTTTCTACCAGGATTTATCTGAAATTTCCCAACACCCATAGGTCTTATTTATATAGGTGAGCACAAACAGAAGCTTTCTTCAGACTTCCCTGCACTGGAGGCAGAGGGACAGTGTGCAGAGGTGTGTGACGTGAGCTGCTTGAACATGACACCTGAATTGGGACAAAATGTTTGCAGCTTTCTGGGAAAATCAAATGGAGACCACCAGGAGGTAATTGGTCAAAGAACTTCTGCAGATGCTGATGCTAGAGAAGGTAAGGCCCCTTGATTTTCAAATGAGTGCTGAATGGTTACAAAAAGGATAACACATATGCAATCCCTTTCATGCCCACTTTTTACTCTTGGCATCCATCTCATGGGATTTCACAAGGACCAACTTTGGACTCAGGAACAGGTGCTGTAGGTACAGAATGGAGGACAAATGGCTGGAGAGCAACACTCATGAAAAAGGGGTACTTGTCAACAGCAGGCTAAACATGAGCCAGCACTGTGTTGTGGTGGTTAAGAGGGCAAACGCCACCCTTGAATGTATAGCCAGAAGCTTGGCTTCCAGACTGAGAAAGGAAGCCATGAAGGACATACAAGAAGGACATAGCAAGGTTGGAATCAGTTCAGCGCAGGGTCACAAGGATGGTAGCCGGATTGCGGGGGATGCCCATATGAGATGAAGTTGAGGTAGCTGGGTCTTTTCAGCTTGGAGGAGACTCCAAGGGGATCTTGACATACAAGTATGTGAAGGGGTGTCACACAATAGAGAGTCATGACCTGTTCTCCCCTTTACTGGAGGGAAGGACACTATCCAATGGGGTAAAGCTGAAGGAACTGGGTTTCAGGTTGGATGTCAGGAAGTACTTTCTGATGGTTAGGACAGCTAGGATATGGATTGGGCTTCCACAGGAGGTGTCATCAGTATGGGTGTTCTAGGAAAAATTGGACAACCTCATGTTGGACATTTCATGAGGAGAGCTGGCTTGTGCTGGGGGTCAGGCTAGATGACCCAGGAGGTCCCTTCTGTGTTTCATGGGGAATGAAAACTGAACCAAACTTGCCCCACTCAGTTGGATTTTTCATCCATTAAGAAACAAATGCACACTGCTCATTGCTTTGTCAATGTTTCATGTACTCATTCTTGAGGAACTCCACCATGTATTTTGCATCACTGTTTTCAGTGTGGTCATTGCACAGTACTGATTCTCTATTTTTGTTGCTGCTGCTGCTGCATTTGTTCTGTTACTGTACCACATGATTTACCTATTTCTGTGCCTTTCATTCTTTGATGGCTGGTTTGCACACAGACTAGATTCCTCGTCTGGTCATTTCTGTGTTGTCCAAACCAGCCCTATGTGACAGCTTTTCAGGGAGCAGTTCTAGGTTTGCCACATTTAGACTTGGCCCTTACCTGAGAACACTTATCTCTTGAGACATATATCAAAGGATTAAACTAGGTTTAAATTAGCTGATCAATGAGATTTTATGGAACATTGATAGAGGAGTATCTTTAAAGCTGAGTTTATGGGGTAGGGCAAGTACCTTTCACACGAATGCAATAACTCAATTTGTTTGCATTTTATGTTGTGTCCCTCTATTTATACCTGGCAAGTATCTTCAAAAACTTAATGTGTTATTTCATTGATTCCTCTGGGTTCCTTTCCACTATGAATACCTGTGAAAAGGATGTAATTTTGAACAAGAAGGTGGCTTTGGCTTCCCTGATCATCAGGCCTGTTCACTGACTTGTACCAAAATCTGCTCTTTTTCATTCGGATTAGACTTTTCCCATGGTCACTTTTAGATTTGTCATTCCTGGAGTACTCCCCAAATGGACTGCACTGAGTTCTCAATATATTAAAACAGATAGGATGCCTGCTACAGTTATGGCAATAACTGAGGTGTGGCACACAGTTTCATGTTAATTAGTTTGTTAATGAACTCTATGCACTCTATGAGGAAAGTTAAATTTGCAAGAAAGCATTTGTTGGGCAGACTCAAACAGATAGGCTGATTTTTACTTTGGATCCACTTGTAGCTCCCAATGATAACTCTGCGCCAGTTTCTGCTTTGTGGGCTAAATACTATTTGCAACTAGAGCTGGATGGTAAGATGTGCAATTGAAAATATTGTTAGAATCTAGGTTTGGCTCAGCTGTGTTTGCACCTTGCAGCTCTCTCTGTTCTTAGAATTATTGATTGAGGCTGCACAGCTATACTGTCCCAAAACCCTCATGTCCATCACCTAACACTGATGAAGAAATATATATAGGGTCTTAGGCAAGAAGGAAATAATGAATCGGAGTACCTTATTTTGCCCAATCAATGGATCACTTCCTTGGAATCTACCACAAAAAGGGCAATGAATCTCAGGTTACATTTAATTCAGCAAAAACTGATTTCTCAAATATACTGGAAGCTACAAAGTATTTTCAATAAGGGGTTATACATATTGGCCAACTGAGGAGATGTAGTACTGTGTATGTTTTGGCAATACTGAATGACTGCTTCTTTGAGATGGAAGGTAATAATATGGACAAACTTGTAAAGGAACATTCCTTAATAGTCATAGATTATTAAGGAATGTGTTCTTTTCATTATCTACCATGTAAATAGGTTCTCCATGCCCTTTTGACAGCTAAATGAGTAATATGACAACCATGCAAGGACAAACTACCTCCTTGAATGGCACAGTGGGTTGAAGACTTGGTAACACTTTTGAGTTTTGAACAGATTTTTTAGCACACTTTACAAATGGACAAATACATGGATATCTGGGTTACCTCTGTTAAAGCCTATGCATAACTATCCCTTAGAATGGGAATCTGTTTTGATACACATAAAATACATAGGCATACATAGTATATATGTAGATTATATGAAACAGATTAACTCCAATGTTATGGAAGAGAACTGTAATGTGCTATTTAATTTATGTTTTTATTTTGTTTTGACTTTTGAAACTCATTGAAAAAAAACTAATAATAAGCGGGAGGAAACCCACTGGAATGCCTCTGAGATGTGCTTCCTAATGCTGGCACTGGCCAGAGCAACTGCGATAGTTCCAGTGAAGCACCTGAGAGCGAAAAATTGTCAAATTACCTCCTCAGAACAAAGAAACAAGCAAAACTGTATTAGCAATAAACCAGTGACATTTATTTTTCTGTTCATGTTGCTCACTCATCTACAGACAAAATTCTGAAGATATCAGGACAGACATCCTTGTGTGCATGGAAAAAAAGAGAACTCCAAGGACAAAAAACTACTCAGGCAAGAGATAGCTTGCATGCATGTATGAGACGCTTCCGCAGACCTGCTGCTGTCTGGGCATGGTGCTCCCATCTGAGGTGCAAATGCAAGATGGGCACCACCAGCCCACCTCTGCTTTACCTCTGTTGCCCCGGAGTAAAATGGCCTTCAGCTGTGGCAAGGAAAATGAGGTGCGATATGCAGCAAGAATGAACATTTCAGAAGAAAGGGTAGGCTGCTGGGGCAATCGACAAGTCAACAGGCAGAGCACAAATGACCTTTTCCCCAAGTCAGGGACAAGTGCAGAACCGCCATGACTAGGCAGAAATGCTCATGTCTTGCCCCAGCAGAGTGGACCTTTCTTTTGTCCATGTTAAAATGTTTTGACCGAAGATTTCAATTTCTTCTCGAAAAGGAAATAAACCTGCCCAAATCGCTGAGATTGTGTTTGTTTTTAAAAACAGTGAAAATAGTTTATGTGGTCTCAGAGTCACGCTTATTCTCAAGTTCTGAGGGGTCATAGGACCTGGTGACAGTCTCACCATGCCAGGGAAACATGAAATATTTGCGTGTGGAACTGCCCAGAGTGTGCCCAGATGCATTAGTGGCACACTCAGAGGATGGAAGCTGGCAAAGGTTCTCTGTCAGAACGGCCCCACAGGGGAGGGCAGGATGTGGGGGGCACAGGAGAGGAATGTATGCCACTCTCTATACTCCTCTAGCTCATGGCCACACACTATTGAGAGGGCAACATTGTACCAGCCCTGGACCTGACACAAGAAACTGTCTCCCTTTGACTTCAAGAGCAGCAGGAGCTTACCCACCTGCCCTCAGCATCATCGGTATATGGCAGGTGCGGGATACATGGGACCCTCCCAGTGCTGTTGATCTGAAATGGAACCAGTTGCCTGGAGAGGTCATGGGCTCTCCCACACTGTAGGCATTCAAGATGCAGCTGGACAGTCCTGCATGGAGCAGGCAGTTGGAGTAGATGGACTTCTTGGCCCCTTCCAACTCTACTATTCTATGATTCTAATCTTTCAGCATTGGCTATTCTGGCTGGGGCTGATGGGAACTGCAGTCCAAAAACATTTAGAAAGTCACACAATCCCTACCCAGGTATGTAGGATTGTTTTGCCTGGTTATAATCTATGTACATTAACCTGGGAGTAAGCTTTCATAAATTGGTGGGCCTTAGCATAGGATTGTACTGTAAATCACCTCATTCCAAAAACAAAAAATAGTGGAATATTTTTCTGCATGTCTTTCAGTCACTAAAAATCTGTTTGCTGTAACTTGCTGGAAGAAAAAAAGCTTCCATGAAAAGCAAGCATTACTTGGCTGATCTTAGAGATTATACATATGAAACAAGAACGTGATTAAATATTGGAAGAAATCCTCAACTAGTGAAAGCTGGCAACGTTGTCTGAAATGCAGTGGAGTAGGCTGAATACCTAACATTTGATGAATTGGGTGCATTGAAGCAGGTTGGTGCATTCATAGTAATACAGACATTTATAACAGATGCTGTCACTGCAGTTCTTACAGTCCAATGTTGTGCCTTCAAGTTGCACTGAATTCACTGGGACTTCGTTTCAACTGAGTGGACAAAGGATTAATAGACAAAAAGTTTGTGGAAACAAGAATGGCAGTAGGTTTTGCCATTTTGCTCCTGAAAGATGCCATTGTGCAACTGGGTAAGGCAAAAAGCACAGACAAAGTGCTCTGGATGGAACTTGTACCCCATGGCACTAACACAACGCCCAACAATGGGCTTTCCGCAACCCTGACACACCGTTCCCTGGCGCTGGTGGTAATGGAGCTCACAGTAGGGACGGCCATTTAATTCAAAGAAGGATCCACTGTCAAAGCTGCAAAAACAGTCCTGAAAGCAGAGGAAAACTGTGTCAGAGCATGAAACGTAATTCTGGAACTTACACATGAACAAGTTCTTTGCTATGCTACACTAGGCTGGGATTCCATTCTCATGGCCCTCACCAGTCAGTGAAAGTTTACAAAGTCTTTATCGTTCAAGTTTTAGAAGTTTTATACAGAAAAGTGGTAATGGGCTGGTTATCTGTTGCATCTACTTTTGGGTTAGGGTTCACTGCAAAAATAAGATCTGAGCACTACAGTTTTTCCTTTCCTGCCTTTCTGTGAATAACCTCTAGGTGGCACTATGGTATAGTGAAATAGCACAAACAGAAAAAATGGAAATAGAGTATTCTTTCACTTTCTTTAAATAATACCACATTTCCCATGCCAAAAAATCCCAAAACAAAACCCTCACCAAAAGTGCTGTTTAGATACAGAAGCAAAACTGGAAGGTTGCAACATTGTCTAAAGAACCTGTAATCTACCATGAGTAGGGAATAACATGTGTAAAAGTGTAATACATTGTGTAGAAAAGGTGTTATTTGTTTATTAACTCAAATTAAATGCAGGTCTTTGGATAATTTTCTTCTCCTTTTAAAGCTGCTCAATTGGTGGCCATCACTATGTCTTGAGGAATTCCACATTTTATGAATGTGTTATGTGAAAATGTTCTTCCTTTAAACTATTGTGAAGCTCCCACCAATCAGCCTCGTGGCTTCTGGTATGATGATTGTGTACACTTCTACACTGTCTCCTCAACTTGCCTTTTTTCTAAGTTAAACAGTCCCTGACATTGTAACCTTTCTTCAGAGGGAGTTGTCTCAGCCCCTTGATCCTATTAGTTAGAATGATGTTGCACTGCAGTGGGCTATTAGATACCTTACCCCACACACAAAGCACTCTGGGTGCCAGACCGCATTCATTGCAGACAAATACTGGTTCATCACAGGCCGGTCGCAGCCTCTGCACTTGGGAGAGAAAAGGGCCTGGAAATCCTTCTGGCAGTATGGCTTCCCATCCCTCTCGTGGAAGCCTGCAGAGATAGGTGTGGAGAGATGAAAAAGGGCCTTTTAGCAATCATCATGAAAACCCAAAGGCTTCTCAGTACTTTGCTTGGCAAAGCAGAGGGAAAGGGAGATGCACTGCATATATACATCATAAACTATAAACATACATCATATACATCATAAGTACTCGGAGGAGGGCTTTCTCTGCGGTGGCGCCCAGTCTATGGAATGCGCTCCCCAAAGAGGTCCGCCTGGCACCGTCGTTATTTGTTTTTCGGCACCAGGTGAAGACCTTTTTATTTAAATGTCATTTTAATTGTTAATATTATTTATTGATTTTACATCTTTGGCCAGGACAGCTCCAATTATATTGTTTTTATATTGTTATTTTTATTATTTATTGTTGTGAGCCTCCCTGAGGCTTTGGCGAATGGGGCGGCATAGAAGTTTCCTAAATAAATAAATAAATAAACAAACAAACTATACCATCAACAAATCACCCTTGACATGAAGGTAAGACTTGCCACAGCAAAATTTGTATCCTCCCTCTCTGTCTCAACCTACCATTCTACTTGAGACACAAAGAATAAGCCTACAGCAGCTTTCCCTGACCTAGTGTCTTCCAGATAGGCCACACCACAAGTCCCATGATCCCCAGTCATCATGGCATGAATTATAGGGCTTTTCTACATCAGGCTATTAATCTCTGTATCTGCTTTTGGTTTTATCCCAACATCGAGATCGAAGCCCTACGCAAAGCGCACTTCCTTTCCTGCTTTTCCATTATGCAGCCTCTAGGTGGAGCTGTGCTCTAGAGGAATAACTCAATTTTCCACCATTTTCCACCATTTTCCCTGGTCTAATATAATTTTTCATTTTTCCTGCTCTACTCACAGAAAAGAAAAAAAATGGGGAAGTGCTCTGAAAAAAACAGAAGGGAAACCGGAGAATCACCATGTTTTAGACATTTAAACTGTTTTACATTTTGTATATTGAAATTTTACACAGTATCTATATTTATTTTTGTTGTTATGCTTATAATAAATTGTTATGAATCACCCAGAAAGCTTCAGCTATATAGAAATAACATTGATGATGATGATATATTTTGAAGACCCTGCAAACAACAGTAAGCAAGGAATCACAAGAGTACAATAAATGCCTCATGTAGAAAAAAAGTATAATCTTTCAGGGAGTTTTATATTTAAAAGATTGTAAACTGTGTCTCCCCACTTGCAGTCAGAAATGGCTTGGTCCATTCTCCCAGTTCCGTCTGTTACAGTCAAATTAAGTTTGACCTGAGAATTTTGGGATACACCCAGTGATCACCTGCACTTGTCTCCTTTCAGCAGATAATTGTTCCTGCTCTCTCTCTGCCCAAGCTAGTAAGAAACTGCTTTATCATAGAATCACATGGTTGGAAGGGGCCTAGCTGGTCATCAGGTCCTATTGCCTGCAGGATTCAAGTCACCCATCCAGATTTCAAACAAGCCTGATCCTGCTTAGCTTCCAAGATTAGGCACAAGCTGGCCCATTAGGCTACATGGATGGCTACTCTTCACATGGTGTGTAGCCGAGGGTCTTATTCTTGCCTTATCCAGAAGGCAGAAACTTGACCCATCAGGCTCCCACTGAAATCTGTTTGTGTTCAGCTTCTAGAGATGCCAAATGAATGATACTCTATTTTCCCTTCAGGTTTCATGTTCCTGGGTTGGGAATGTAACAGTTGATGGTTGTCTTGTGGTCAAGCTCCTTCCAAGAGATTAAATATGTATTTTCTGAAATACATTCATTATTGCAAGCTTAGAGAAGCCTGTTCTAGTGGAGGTGCTTTCCCCACCACTGCTACAGTACTCATAGAGCAAAATTTACTACTCCAGACAAAAGCAGACAGGCCACAGCCCAGTCACACTCATAAAGTCATCCTCATCTGATTCAGCCGCGGCAGGTCACAGCCCAGTCACAGAACGCTTTGCTAAGCTTTGTGCTGGCCGTTCTTCTTAAATAGCTACAGCCACTAAGGAACAGTCCATGCTTGCACAAACAGCTACTGCGCTAGAACTTCAGCATCTGTGCCGAGCATTGAGAAAGGGCCGTCAATGAACGCACATGCCTGAAAGTTGCTTCAGACAGCCTTAAGCAATAACAGGAGGAAGCGGTTCTCAGGAGAAGCCGCCCTGGTGACAAACAACAGTTGCCATGTGCAAGCAAAACAAATCAGCCCACTAAGACTCTAAATTCACCCACAGAAAAACACATGAAAAACTCCTTTCTGCCATCTGATTATAATTAACCGATTAGGGACCTCATCATGGTGCTAAGGGATCGGCGATCTGCTGGGGGGCCAATTACCAGAGCTGGGCTCCTGGGACCACATTAGTGTCATTCTGTGATCAAAGTCCCACAGCAAGGGCAAGTGTGTTTATCCTGTTCCGATGGTTAGTCACAAAGACAGAAAATACTAATTGCCTGTGACAGACCACCCCGAGAATAAAGAAATTAAAGTACATCTACCCACACCGCCTCCGTTCCATATTCTGCAGGGACTTCCTCCTCCAAGAGAGTCCCAAAAGATTCAGAGAGAACTTTGTGGTTGAAGAACATTGACAGAACATAGTTTCCGCTGCTGCCAAGTGGCTCCATGGACAAACAGAGAAATTCAAAGGCATTTCACTCTGTCATTTCCAGTACTGATAAAGCAGTCCCTTATAGATAAGGAATAAATAGTTGCATGACTTAAGCAGAAAATGATCTAAAAAGCCTGAATGATTCTCCCACTAGGTCAGTGTGAGCAAATTCAGGTGCAATCCTATGCAAAAGATTGCGCCCTTGCAGATGCTTTCTATATAATGTCTTGGATCCATTCGTGCTCAAAGTAAATGTCTTGAGCATTTACTTAAGAGGACTTAGTTGTGCTTAATTTATGTTCCATTGCTTTCAGTGGGTCTACTCAAAGCATGGCTAAGTCTGGATCCAATTTGATGTTTTATAGCTTTAGTTCTTGTTGGAAAAGTGGTACCATTGGACCTCTTTGACCACCGCATTGTATCTGACAACAGGTGACTCGGTTGCTTCTGCTTCAGGAGTAACCCATAGCAGGAGACTTGTCATTTCCTCTGTTGAGTCAAAATCATGCTGAAGCCCCAGGAAGTACACACCCCAGCATATGGCTCGTATTTAGTACATTATAGGATATTATGAATGCCAATGTGAGATAAAGCCCAGTGGATAATATTGGGTCTGTCTGCAAAAAGTTGTTAATCACTGCATCTACTTTCAGTTTTGTCACAGCATTGGAATCCAAGTTCTGCACAAAGAGGCTTCCTTTCCTGCCTTTGTGCTTAATTATTGTGAACCGCCCAGAGAGCTTTGGCTATGAGGCAGCATGCAAACAAACAAACATTTCAACTGCACAGCTCTAGGTGGAGATGTGCCACACTCAAATACATAAGGCGAAATTGTGCTATTTCCCCTCTTCTAATATAATACCCCTTTTCTCTCGTTCGAAAAACAACAACAAACAGAAAAGAGCTCTGAAAAAGATGAATGGAGACAGAAGAATTATAACACTGTCCAACACTGTCTAAAGAGCATGTAAACACCCAAGAATAAGGAATCATGAGTGCAAGATAAATGCCTCATGTAGAAAAGCTCATCATGTTAGAGCTAGCTTTGAAAAACTGCATTTATTCACCGTATGAATCGCCCTTTTGGATCACAACTTTTTGTCTCCATGACCATTCATTTCTAGAATTCTAATCCATTTTACTTTTGTTTACTTTTTATCACCTGTCATGTACAACATATTCAGGCAAGTTATGCTGCATTGCATTCTATGGGAAGGACAAGTACTGAAATGACCAGCAGACAGAGGATGGAATAGTTCTGACAGATCTGGGGAAGAAGATCTGTGGTTGCTTTTATTTCAGAATGATTCAAAATGCAATTCTAATCCTGCTCCCTGAGCTCAGTAGGAATGCGTTCTAGTATGAGTGTTTAGGGTTGCTGCCACCATTCCATCAGATGCTGCAGCAAGAAGCCACTTTTGCTTGTTAGAGCTAGTAGTCAGAAGTTTAAAATAGTAGGTAAAGGCAAGCTGAGATCGAAAGGGCATGTTCTGCAAAAATTGAGGCAACAAGGCAGGGGGCCTCCTCAGTGGTCCCCCCCCCCCATTATATAATGATCTTTCCAGCGAGGCGCTCTCAGGATCAACCTTGCCATTTTTTCAGGACCAGGTTAGAACTGCCCTCTAAGCCAGGGCACTCAGTGGGTTTAAATGGCATATTCAGGGCTTATGTGAGCTGTTTTAGTTTTTGTTTTCCTTTTAACGGATCTAGTTGTATAGAATGGTATTAGTTTTCCAAATGCTTTTTAAAGTCGGTTTTAAATTTTATGCTGAATTTTTAAGCTATGTTCACTGTGTTCGTAACTGTCTAGAGAGTTTGGGCTATTCAGTGCTATACTTGATAATAATAATACTGCATTGGCATATACACAAGAACAAAAGGACAGGAACCTTAGGATATAAAAACGTACCATCATCACTGAACACCTTCCCACAGTGAGCACAAAAGAAATGCTCTGGGTGCCAGGTCTGATCCATGGCTGTCAGAATTTTCTGCAAAGGAAAGAACAAAGGGGCGTTGGATTCTCATGGTGGAAAGCCCTGATGGTTTGCAAGGGCAAAGAGAGCTGCAAACAGGAGGGACACAGCAGAGGAAGCAGATAAATTCCCGGCTTGCCCCTGCTCTGCCACGGAGTCTTCTCCGAAGGAAACAGGTGGCCAGAAGCCATGGCCAACAGTACATACCCCCTGGATGGGTGCGGTACAGTAAGCGCAGCGGGGAGAGAAGAGCTGGTGGTAGTCTTCCTGGCAGTAGGCCTTGCCGTCTCGCTCATAGAAGGGATGGGAACCAATTTCCTTTCCACAGTGGGCACAGATGAAGTGTTCAGGGTGCCAGGTGGTTCCCAGTGCAGTGATTATCTGGAAGCCAACAAACTTAGTAAGGGCCTTGATGAAGATATAATGCAGGCAGTCTTGCCTTGCTTTCCTCATGGAATGCCAGCCATGGAAGCCAGATGTTCCCAAGAGGCTCCACGCTGCTCAGCAAGCAACTGGGCCTCTCTAGGCTAGGAGGAAAAGACTCAGGGGTATGTGGCAACCATTATGAGGAAGGTTTGCAGGAGAAGAAACCCCTTCCTCCCACCTGAACATGCCCCCCGGCACACACTTGCTTCAATCTGCAGCCAAGTCCAGAGCAACCTCACTGGGAGAAAGAACCACCAGAGAGGCAGATAGATGGATCCGTGCGCTGCTTTCTCTCACCTTTCCGGCAATGGGTTTGTGGCAGGAAGCACAGCTGCCCTTGGGCACGGTGGCAACTCCCAGGTCCTGCATATCATGAATCAGACCCTTCAACATGCTGTCTAGGTTTTCGGCAGGCTTCTCTTCCGCTGAGGACAACTTTCCTGGAGCTTCCTTTCCATCTGAGATCTTCAACAAAGACAATGATTTCAGCATAAGAACTCTCAGCATCCTGTACCGGCCATGTCCTCTCCTGCCCCCACCCCTTTCTGCAATCCTTATCTTTTCAATAAGATTCCAGCAGTTTATACCTTGAATGGGGAAAACACCATGCCAATGAACAGCACACACCTTGCCTTTTCTCTCCTGATCTGTGAGACATGCAGAACACACTCCTTGAACTTCCTAGTTGTGCAGTTTAAATCTACCTTCTCTCCTATGTAATCCTTTTTTCTTCCTTCCTTTGGGAGATGCTCCACTGAATCACTTTGGTAGCACTTGTACTGCATTCTCCCCAGCTTTCACTGCCTGATCAGTGCTTTGATTGTTTATCGATATCTCAAAGTAGGTAACAACAGAGCATGCAGAAGCAATAGCACATCCAATGATGTAATGAGAAAATCAGAGAAGCAAATACTGAGAAGCAAAAGAATTAAAAGCTACATTCTGCTTGGCAAAACTAAACATCTGCAGAACCTTTCCTACCTTCCAGCCCCTATACCTAACTGAGCCTTTATCTTCTGTATTTGTCAAGCTTCCTTTCACTCTTTTTGAATCCTTCCTCAAAATTCACTTCCTCTGCCAAGCTTTTTCATGGGCTGCCATGTATGGACCTGTTATCTGTTGTCCACAGGCTGTTGAGACCTGGAAAGAAAATTGTCATGACCCAGACCCCCTGACTTCCCCTTCCCACATACACAGGCATGCACAACCCTAGACTGTAAGATCTGGCCTCCCAGTCTGGCCTGCTGGAGCATGGCCCTTTCTGAACCACTTGTCTGCCAAACCTTATCCTTTCCTGTTGCCCTGTCACTACTTTAATCTACCATTTAAATTCTTCTGCACTCCTTTCATTTCTCTTCTAAGATGTTTTGCAGCCTGCAGGCTCATTGGCAAAGGCATGTCCCTTCAGCCCCCAAACTGCTGTATCGTTCAATAACAGCAATCATATTCAGGGCTGCTTTTCTGGCTGGCGCACCCTTTCAGAGAGCTTACCTGCCCAGCACTCTCTCTGAAAGGGTCCAGAGCAGGCAGCACTAATGGGGCCGGGAGATTGGTTGCAAAAGGCAGGCATGCATCCCATGGCAGCAGGTCCCGCCACTATGGCAGCAGGTCCCATGGCAGCAGGTCCCATGGCATGCAATCTGCCACTATGCCCACTGCGTTTCCTGCGATGGGGGATTCACCCTGCCTCATGAGCAGGCCAGCCAGCCCTCGTCCCACAGAGGTTATGAGGGCCAGAGCGTCCGTGTTTCACCTTGGACTGGATTGTTCCCAAGCAAGCCAGAAGGTCATCCAGCTGTTGAGCAGCTGAGCTGGAAGAAGACGAAGGAAGCAATGGCTGTGGAGGTGGCACCTGGCTGCAGAGGAGACAAAGACACCTTCAGGGCTGGAAAAGAATCCTTAAATGCTAACATGAGTTCTCCTCTCCTCTCTCAACATGCATGGCATAGGCTCAGACACAGTTCTCAGTCTTGGCTGCTTGCAAGCCATTATCAGCCTCAAAAACTTACCCCTGAATGTGTCTAATTGTTTTAAATCTTCCCCACTTCTCCATTCTGTGATTGGTGCATAGTTTCAAATGTACCAGCATTATTTATTTATTATATTTCTATCCCACCTTTTTTCCTTCCAAGGAACTCAAGGCAGCCTACATGATTCTCTTCTGCCTCTCAGTCTTATCCCCACAACAGCAGCCATGTGAGGCAGGTTGGGCTGAGAGTCTGTGACTGGCCCAAAGTCACCCAGCTGGCTCCATGGCTGAGTCGAGCACCCAGACTGCCTGAGTCCCAGTCCTGCACTCTTAACCACTACACCAGAAGCTCTTGTTATGTAAACCATATGACAACTGTGCCTAGACCTGATGACAGGCAAGGGGATGGCAGCTATTGTAGGTATTACAGTCAACCTTGTGAAATGTTGGACAAACAGCAAGCAAGGTACCTTTCTTTTCCATATGCATCTGGTTCACTGGAGTGACAAACTGGCAGCATCCAAAGCTGAAGCCTTCCAAAGAAGCCAGCTAGCCATTGGAAGAAGGTTAAGTCATAGCAAATCATGTCTTACCCCGCTACCTTGGCTGAATCCAGCCATCTAAAATCCCTGGTGAAATACTGGCACAGCTTTTGCCTCCTTTACAGTCCAGAAATTATGTTGAATCACTCAGGGGTTCTTGGAAATGGAGCTGAATGGTTACCAGCCCAAAACATCTGTGACTCATCATACATGCAAAATCGGGCTTGTGAGTACACAAAAATGTTGCCTCTGTTTACATATTTTTTATTCCTCTAGTCTGAACAATCACAGCAGATTTAAATGAATCTGCCTGTCCATATTAACATTCAAGAGTATCAAAAACACCTGATAGCTTTCCACAGTCTGGGACATTTCAAACAGCAAATCTTAAATGAAGATAATCAAAGCAGACAGATTCTAGCCCTCATGCAGAGGTGGTGAATCTCTTTCAGCCCAAGGGTTAAATTCCATGTTGGAGAAGCTCTTGCAATGCCGGGTGGGGTCAAAGGCAAAGTGGAGGCACCAGGCACCAGGCCCGGGCGTATCACGCAGACCGCTCACATGCATGCGCACACACAAACAACAAGCATTCCTGCCTCTTCGAAATGGCCTCCTCCCACTGAAATTCGCTTTTTCAAAGCCTCCATTGGCTCGGGGTTTTTTCATTTGTTTTGTTTTGTTTTTGAGGAGGCAAAAAAGAAGTATCATTGGAAGACCTGCAATGTTAATTGCTAACTGGACTCCGTAGCTTTGGCCTCGGTTCGATTACCCCGTCTCAGATCAAGCTGGTAGCCCAAATACCCAGTTATCCAGGTTGATACTGGCCAGAACTCAGGCCACCTGAATCAGGTTGGTGTGCAGCAAGCTCATTTCAAAGCATCACAATATCACAATGATGACAGAAGGAGAATTATTTCTTATATTTTGTTCTAGCATAATTAAAGTTTATAGGAATTGATGTATTAATTGATGTTAATTATAAGTATTGCTAAAGTACCTTTAACAAGAGTATTCATAAACAAGTCAAGAAGAGTTTTAGGATGATAATGACAAGTCTTTACCAGTCTATTTTTGTTGCTAGTTTTATTCTATCTGATTAAATATGTGTGATTTTACTGGACATTCTGTAGGGCATTGTGTTTATGAATATGGTGATCCATCCTTTTTGATAAAGGCTGGGATCTATATTCAACAAATAATAAGATAAGAATAGAGTAAGTGTGGAATGTGGATAAAAAATTGATAAAAATATAGAGGCTATATTCAGAAACAAAAAGGGTTGTCATTTTAGAATTTGAACAAAAAAGATTATTGTTTCCATCATTTGCTCATACTAAGACAGGTAGGAATGGATTCATAGGAGCACTGGGAAAGGACACCTCAGAATGGCTACTGAACAGGATTCCTCCCTTCCTACATACTGGCAAAATACCAGAAGTATTCCTAGACAGTCAGCTTACAATACCAAAATGTGAAGCGATTGGTCCCAACCAACTTACATTTCCACATGTGTTTGTAACCTGGTTGAAATATACCCTACCCCCTCCAGACACTCTAGCTAGACTGGTTAGAGAAGAAGGAGGTTTAGAGCTCTGATTCCTAGATCTGAGCTTGGATCACTACCTCTTGGCTTCAGATGTCAGCATCAATCTTATTATTATTATTATTATTATTATTATTATTATTATTACTACTACTACTACTACTACTACTACTACTACTACTACTATCACTATTTTATTGCTATACCACTCATAGCTGAAGCTCTCTGGACAGTACAACAACAAAATACAAATGCTGCCTAGGTGCAAATAAATTGTTCCCTAAATATGTGAATTAGGATGAAATCATATACATACATATAACTCAGGCTGCACAGACCTGGCTAGGACTGAGTTCTGAACAGACATGCATTGGATTGTACTATTAGTGAGCATAGGTACTAGTACTTGTTAATGCTAAACGAAAATGCCAGTTGTTTAGAAACAACTGGTAGTTATCGGTGGAGGGCATCCTTCTAGAGGCCAGAAGCAGAAGGCAACAGTGTACCCTAGGGACTATTTTGCCTTTTACAATATTGAAATATTTACAGGCACTTACCTGTAAATATTTTCTGGATCATCCTTGCCGTACTGAGTGCTATATGCTGGTTGTATCTGGAAATATACACAGCAGAGACACAAATAGAACACAGTTTCCTTGCAAAGCCACTCAAATGTGCACAGCTTCCCAGTAGTGGGTGCTTCAGGGTGAAGTTTTTATCATGACATCGCTTTGTCTCATTCATGGAATCTTATCAGTGTAGCTGAGGGTGGGCACATACTACTCATCCCCTGCCCCTGAGTTTTTGCTCCACTCCTTCTGCTTTCTTAAAGGAATTGCTGTACAATTTTTCACCATTAGTGTTAGTCATCTCCAGCTGGAAGCACACATTGGTTACTGTCCTGTATTGACCAGTAAATGAAATTTCCAAAAACAATGAAGCATTGAAAATCACTCGCTGCCTCTGCTTTTCAAGAGCAGTCTTCCATTCATTGCTGTCTCCAAATGTGGAACCTTTTTTTTTTAAATGGAGCAGGGTCTATCTCAAGGTCCTATTATTTTCCTTCTCTCTCATCTGTTCTCATGAAGTGATGTTCAGCGATGTCCCAGAATGGATGGGAGAAAAGTGTACCAGGGAATAGTTTGACAGAACAGGGAAGGCCCTGGGTATGGCCTGAAGGTATATGAGGGGAGGGTCTGGTCCATGTTTAGCATGGAGTCTGCCTGGGAACTGCTTGGAGCCACCTTGAATTCCACAGTGGAAGGAAGGTGGAATATAATAAATAGATAAATTTTAAAGGCAGGCAAATGGACTGTGGTAACACAGAATCCAGGCATCTACTCATATGAACTGCTCTGCAACAGTGTCCAGGCTGAGTGACCTAATGGGCGAAAGAGTTGGTTTGCCACTGTGTGAATAGAGTAATGGACTGGATGGACCATCCAGCACGGCTTTTCTTATGCTGTTATCTGCAACAGGAGTGGCCTTAAACCAAATCAGACCATCAGCTCACTGAGCTCCGTATTGCTGTGCATTTCTCCAGGAGCCCAGTCGGGGCCCTTTGCCAGTCTGTGAACTGTAATCCTTTGAGCAGAGATCCCATCAGAGCTGGGAAGAGTGCTTCTGCCATGCAGCTGAAGGATACCAGCATCGCTGGCTCCATTTTTGAGGTCCTCTTGCAGGCCTTTCATCTTAGTTTTATAGTTGACTTTTTGATACGTGGGCTCCATTTTGTAATCCATGGCTTCTGAATATACATATCACAAAATGCCTTTACCCAAACTATCTATTAAATGAGAGACTGCAGCAGCTATTATGCATCGGGGCAGATGAGTCAAAGAACAGGAACATGTTAAGGACAAGCTTTTGCATAATTCACCTTGAGCAGCCACAGCCTTGCATAACCTACACCTTACCAAGGAGGTACATAGCTTAAGGAAAATACCTTTTTGACTTCTGGGGGATCTGGGTTCTTCTGCTGGGTGGCACTGGCCTTTGCTGCTGGTGCCACTGGTTCCTCCTTGTCTCGTTCCAGAAGAAAGCAAACTTTTGGTTCACTGACATTTAAACTCACTGAAGTTTGTTCCAGTTCCGCCAGCAAAGCATCTGAACAAAACCATTATAGCTTTAAGTATGTCAGTCGGGAATTACGTTTTATTCCTTTTTTGCTTCCTCTTTGCCTTTGGTATTTCCCATTGAACAGTATCTTGTCAACAATAGTTCCGTATAGCATTTTATTGGAATAGCTAGCAAGCTCTTCATGAGTTCAATGATCTATATGGGGGAAATATGGGTGGAGGGAGAGGCCTATGCCATCTCAGTATGTTACCACCACAGAAAAAATAATAATGTAGGTCTTGTAAGAAGGAACGGGTTCCTCCACTCCTTGCTTACACTAAGCATCCCAGAGTGCTCTGCTCCAGAAGCCAAGCGTGCCTAAAGAATGGAAATCTTGGACTGGGGCTTTTAATATACTGTATATGAAAATACTGTATTTTGACATACAAATAACATAATGTGTTGTTTAATAATAAACAATAAATATTTGACTAGGTTCACATGATACAGCAAGCCATGTATTTTTATGAGGCCAAGTGGCTTAACATGTTGTCCACTTCCACCATGGCTTATTTGGGGTAGCTTATAAACCCAGCTGCCGGGGTTAAGGTGCCATCAGATATCTGAGCTCTGGAGCAGTCGAAACTCCTACAGAGACACTTGGCAAGAGTGCCAAAAAGGGGCTGCCACTTGGGTCAGGCAGCTCTGAATGATGGCAGTTGCCCCCAAGGAGCACTTGAGGGCAGCTGCCATCATAGCACCCAGTCCAAGGAGCTGAAGGCTGCAGCCATGCGGGATGAACCATGTCTTGCATGGCTTCCTCTGGAAGACACTGAGCAGAATATGCCTGCCCCACCTGTGGCAGTGGGCAGCTCATCCCATCCCATTGCCTATTGTAGCAGAGGGGGATTTGGGCTGAAGGGAAGAGGAAGTCACTCCAGCCTGATTAGCATGGCATAATGGGAAGAGTTGGGAAATATGGGTTGTAATCTCCACTCTGCCATGAAGCTCACTGGGCCATGATGTTGGGCCCGTCATAGAATCTCAGCCTGACTTTCCTCCCAGAATTGTTTTGAGGATAAGATAGAAGAGAACTGTGTAAGTCTACGTAACTATGAATAATGTTAAAAAGCTTTAGATAAATAAATAAATGAGTCACTTTAGGTCCCTTGCAAGAAAAAAGTGGCATAAAATAAATAAAATTAAGCCTAACTTTAAGGCTTAAACTGATTCCAAGACTGAACACAAACACAGATCTCTCTCACACACAAACACAACAGACACCCTCTTTGTCTAGTCCTTTTTGGAACTGATTATTTCAATCACCTTGCTCATCCAAAGTTATATGAAAGGAGCGATCCAGCCAAAGTTAAGCATTTAAAAACCAAATTGATTCCAATGAAAGAATAAAGGGTAGTATTCCAGATAACTCCTGCAGAGAATAGACCCTTTGAAATGAATGGGACTGAAGTTAGTCATGACTAATTTAAGATGTCCATGTCAATAGGCCTACTCTAAGTAGGACTAACTGCAGATATCACCCAGTTTAATTAAATGCTTGCCTGCTGAACTCAATGGCAAACAGGCTTAAACTTTGATAAGACGATGTGTGTCTTGTGCTATACAGTCTTCTACCCTAGAGTAGAAAAAGCCATTTGCTTGTTTTCAGACCTTTCGGCAGGAAAGTATTTGGACAAGTCCACTGTTATATTTGCAGATGGCTCTGCAAGTCTTTTATTTATTAAAGATGCAACCCTATGGATGTTTCAATAGAAAATGTGCTCCTGCTCCCATCATGCCTCAGCCAGCATGGCTAGTTGAACCGATATTGGGAGCTGTAGGATGTTTTTCTGTCTGAACGGTATTGTGTCCTTCGCTTTTAATCTAATCTCACCCTGAAGGTTTGGTATTGCATATGCTATACTGAACATTTGAACTGCATGCTTTAAATCTGAACTTTAAATAATAGTTTACCTTGAAATGGTTGTTATTATTATTACATTCTCTTGTGAGAGTGCAAGGTGGCTTGCATAGCTCCATTTTATCCTCACAACTGCAACCCTGTGAGACAGGCTAGGCTGAGAGTGAGTGACTGGCCCAAAGTCACCCAGTGAGCTAGACTATGCTCTTGTTTCCATGGTCTTGAGTTTAAGGGACTGTTTAATAAAGTAATGTATGATTTCTGTGCCCTACATCTTCCTTATGCTGCCATATAGATGTCTCACAGCCCACATTCCCAGCCAACCCTCTAAAAGAGTGCAGTTGATACTAGCCTCCTTGCCCAGCATCTCATTAGCCTCTTCAGTATTTCTGCTTCCTCAGGTTGGCCTTTATGGGCATTTATGTATATGCCACTTTAAAAGATGCCCTGTGGCTCCCCGAATAAAACCATCCAAGCTCACAGAGGGGAGAACCTGCAAGAGAGGAGCTCTCACCAGCTTCCCCTGGGGAAAGGAAACATTGATCCTTGAGACTGTCTTACCGTAGACTTATCAGTGTGAAGGAAAGCAAGGGAGTGCCATAACCTAACTGCGCATCTCCCACACAACTTAGTGCTATGGGTGGCCATTCCTGGCCATATTTTTCTTTTGGTAAGGAAATTGCTGGCTAACTGGCAAGAACGGCCTATCAGTATTTTCCCTGTGATGCACTCTTTGCAAACTGCTGTGTTGATTGCCTCCATGCAGGTTCTGGAGTTCCAAAGGAACTAAACTGCTGGAACAAGTGTAAATTGTATGTGCATAAACTTCCTCTGGTTTCCCCCTGGGTCTGTCTTTGACACAGAAGGTCCAGAGCCTGGGTCAGGTTCAGAGGACATGCGTGACCAGTAGCAAACACCCATCCCACCGTAGCTTGCACAAACCTCATTGGTGCCACAAGGTCTGATGTTGCCATCCTGCCCTGACCCAAGCCCAGATCATACTGCCCCATTTGAACCACAAGCTGATTTCTGGAGGCTGCTAAGACAAGACATTGTTCAACAAATACAGCATGCATCCAATCACTGCCCTTGGAAGAGCTGTGGGACTAGAGGTGCATTGAATGGCAGTCTGCAAGCTTCAGACACTTGCTTGGGTGCAGGAACAACCCTGAGGGCTTTGGAGTGGCACATGCCCCCCTCTGGACCTTCTCTGTATTCTGGTTAGTCTTGAAGTGATGAGGTGTGGGTGGAGGGTTGTAGATTTGGGGGAGGCAATGCTAAAGAGTCTCTACTTGCACAGGGCTGTCCACGTGCAGGACAGGGCAGGAGGGAAGAAGATCCCAGAAGCAAGGAAGAGGGATTTTGGCAGACTCAACCTGCCATGTCATAGTGCTGAGTTCATGAGTCAGACCGTATCTGGTCAATTGTTCTTTTTGATACATACAGTTAAGCAGGCCAGGAACCCTGATCTCTGTTGCATCTGGTTACCCATTTATGGCAATAGCAGATGCTTCAAAGGAAATGGTGTCATGGTTAGAAAGAATCTCTTTCTACACTGAACAGACTCAATCTAGGATAGCCTAGAATTGTATATCTCTAATACAGAAAGAGGTTCCTTTTGTCCTGTCTTCCTGTCTCAATTCATAATTTGTTTGTAGTCATTCATTTATACAAACATGGCCTTCTCTAAACTGTACTCTACTAAATTACCTACCATTTGATTTAATTTGATTTCTGTACTCCCCATTAACCAAGACAGTTCTCTCAGCACTTCATACTTTATAGGTAAAATATCTCTTATGAGCTACTTGAACAAAAAAGGACAAGCATCATTCATTTCTTTTCATAAAGTAAACTGTCTGTTTCTCCTGTTGTTTGAGTTTCTCCATTTTAATCTGAGAGTTCATCCTTCTTGAACACCCAGGACCCAAATAAGGTTACTGCATTTCTTTCAACAAAGTCTTCATGTTTTTAATGACTGTCCAAGAGGCAGAAATTCAACACCAGCAGCTTTTTCTCAGAACAGGAAACGATGTACTTGATGAGCTATTGCTGGTCATGTAGCTGGTAAAATAAGGAGGTATGACCTTTTTTTCCCCAGAGGCCGCATCTGATATTGGCTGGGTGACTGGGGACTGTACATGGGTGCAACACACACACACACACACACACTTCCCTCAAATCAACACTCTCTGCTTCCATTTGAAAACATTTAGTCAAACCCATAATGCATGATCTTTCCACCTCTTCAATTCTTCCTGTTCCCTTAAGCAGATCAAACAGAATGCATGCAGTGTCCTTGTGATCTGTGCACTGAGATTAACAGCAACAATAATAGTAATAATAAGAATAATAAGAAGAACACTTTATTGTATCCCTCACTAGCTTGCCTATTGGAAGAAGCATTACTTACCTAAATCATCCATCCCTTATTTGCATATGGTCTTCTCACTCACAGGCTCAAGGATACGCAACTGAGAGATGTGGTTGTTGGGCAGTGGAACCAAACGGGAGATGGGCAAGATGGTGCGTAAATGAGTGGGACCGCGCTCGATGCAGACTTTTGCAGTTCCTCTAGCTGTACTTCCTCTTTTTAGAGGCTGAAGGGTTCTTTCCCCTAACGAATCACATTCTGAGAAACTAAGACATGCATATTCAAATGACTGAACAGGAAGAGATAGCTGGCCGATCTTTTCAGATATGTGTGGATCTTACAGTTGTGTCACCTGCCTTGCAGATTGGGCAGCTGCTCTCTCCAGTGGCATTTTACTGCTAGATGATAAATCACTCCTTGGGCATTTCCGCATGCCAGCCCACCCACCCTGGCAATATTGTTCTGTCAACAACTCATGCTACACACAACAGATGATCAGCGCCATTGGAGATTGCTCAACCCCTTCCTTTCCCTCAGTCCTCCCACAGGTGACACCATGGCAGGACCAACTTGCCTTCCTCTTCCCGCCATGATATCAAGCTGTCTTGTTGCTCTCCCTGCACTTTTTTTTTTTAAGAGCTCACTGTTGCTGGCATGATGGTCAGCTTTTCTGATATACATTTTTGGCAGCATCGAAGAGCCCCTTCAAAGTGCCTAGGAAGGGGCTGTTTGCTTGGAAGAGCTGACTCTAGTTGCCAACTTTGGGGGGGGGGGGGGAATTGGATGCCCTAAAGTAAGCAAATGCTTTAAAAATCACTTTTCATATTTTTCTGTTTTTTTCCCCTTAAGGGCATACTTGGGTACTTAAAGAGCTCCAAAAGTGAGCAGCTTTGCCTGGGCAACATCAGTTCAGAAAACACAGCTGGTCCCAGCCCAGGACATGGACCAAGATAAGCTTCAAATAACTTTTGCCTCACTTTGTTTTGGTGTGACAGCTGTCAAGACAAACCAAAGTTGCAAGTGATTTGTGCTCAGAAAAAGAGGGGTGGGATTTATGCCCCCTTTGTGAAAGGATCCTCCTCCTGCTGCTGCTTTTTAAAGCTAGACTATCCTAAGGCTGCTCTCACTTTTCCACTTGTCCTCAAGTCTCTAGGAAAAGTGTTTTTATGGGAGCTGATGGCTGTTGTCAAATCTGTTTTGTTTGAGAAGGTTTCGTTTTGAAAGCAAGGCTCAGCATGTTTCTCCCCATGACACACATTCATACACAGGGATATTTGCAAGCACGAGTGTATATGCCCTTGTAGGAAAACCATGAGGAGCTTTATTTTTTTTCTGAAAAGAATCAGAAGCTAGCTTAAAAGCTAGCTATAATAATGCTAGTTATTTTTAAAAGGCAGTGGCTTAAAGTTTTCCACGTTCCCAAATACTTTGTGTTCCAGGAAAAAGTAGAAAAGTGGGAGCACCCTTACAACTGTTGAATCTATGAAAATAAAAGGATCCTTCCAATGTGTAGATCCCAGCACCCCTTTTTGCCCACCTTTGACCCCTGCTGAAGCAAACCAAAGGAAACAAAAGGGCAATTGGCAACATCTCTGGGTCAGATTTTAAATGCAAAGATCTGCCAGGCTCAACAGACTGGCAAATGCACCCTCTCTTTTTGCCCCTGCTGCCACAAGTCAGCACTGCTGGGAATGAGATGGTCCATCTGCTCAGGATTGTTCCAGAAATGATGACTTTCCTTGATGATCTACTACAGAAATATCTCTAACTTGTACTGAATGTGCCAGGGTATTTGAAAGACAGAAGATTCCTGCTGCCCGCCCCCCCCAAACTTCTTCTTCATGATCAGTGCTTTTAAAAAGTGTTGTTGAATTTGTGTCATTACAGCCATGCTGCTCTCAGCCCTGTGGACATGCACATATTAAACCCAGTGATTTCATGACCTCAGAATCTAACTACTTCGCAACCTCAACTTGCGGTGGGATTTCATTGCACTACATCAAACATTGCAATGTATGTGCAAAGGTGCATGAGTGTATTTTCACGAATACAATTTTATTTTAGGGCTGGTGCTGGAATATAAAAGCCTGAGCTTGCATAAGTGAGAAGGTAGCATACAGGCTGAGATAACACACAAAGATCAATATAGAGATAGTAAGAGATGAAATGAAACCTAATGTGAAAACACTGCTAGCCTGAAAGCACATTTACTTGTGTCCAAATATTGTACTGTATAATGGGTGGGGGGGGCGCGAAAGGCCATTATTGAATTGCCATTGAATTGTGACAATGCACCAGTGCAGGGGAAAATCCACATTTTCTTTTTAAACCAAAGTGCACTCAGATTGTGTACCTTCTTTTTAAGAAAACCCACATTCCCCCCCCCCATTTTTTGGGAGCACACAATTATGTATTAAAACTTATTCTGAAGGGAAAAGAGCCCCATTTTTTCTTCTTTTTTTCTTTTTGCTGCTGCCAAATTCAGTAGGTTGGCAGCAGTGGCAATTGCAGCATGGCGAGACGACCTGATGGTGGGTCCAGGAGGGGATGCAGATTGGCCCCTGGGTCTTCAGAAATTTCCCATGATGTGTAAGTGAGGGCAACCTTCCAAAACCAGGCACTCACCAGATGCCTTAGATCACATATCCCATCATCCATGTGTGCTTGGTACCAAGTTCAAAGTTATTTATTTATTTATTTGGAATTTTTGTATGCCATCCCATCCGCATAAGCCTCGGATGGCTTCCAACATATAAATAAATATCTATACAGATACATATAAAAACTGGAGACATCCTGGCAATAATTTAAAACCAATAAATAAAATCAACACTTAAAATATCATTTAAATAGAAAGGGTTATTTAAAAGATTTAAATAAAAAGTTAGGCTGGACATGCACATGGTGGGCTTGTCGTGAGCAGAGCTGGCTGGAGCTGGGGGTCAGACTAGATGGCCCGGGAGACCCCTTCTGACTCGCTCTGTTTCTATGTTTCTAAGTTGGAGAAGGACAGGTTTGGGGCTAGCAATCAGAGGCTCCCATTTCAAGCCTGATCAAATCTTCTAGGGGGTAGCCTGAACCACTTGCCAGCAGCTATGAATGATTATTCCCTACAATAGACAAGGAACTGAGGAGACTATAGTCACTAAATGGTTATTAAATTTAACACAAATGCAAGTGGAAAGTTGCCCAGGAATCCTGTGAAGTCACATTTAATTGCAAAAGAGGAAATGTTGCAAAACCAAAGAGATTTAGTGAGAAGGAAGTTGAAAGAGTCAAGAGTCAAATCTTTTCAGGTTGCTTGGAATTTATTTAAAACTGCAAGAACAGCATCTCAGATTAGAAAAGGTCCAAGGTCTTGGACAAAGAAGTCCAAGTCTTGGACAAAGAAGTCCAAGATGATGCCTGCAAAGTGAATGAATTAAGGCAAGGAAGCAAAGCAAAGCAAAGCATATTCCTTTCAACAACAACTGAAGGCATGCTCAATTGAAAACCAAAAAGAACATTTTTGACAAAACAAATCACTTGTCAACAAGTCAATGTGGCATGAGATTATGAACAACAAGAATTGCATGTTGTTAAGAGGGTTACAATGGAAACAAGGAATCCAATGTGGGAAAGGCAATTGGACTACTAGATATTAAATATGTGGAAGGCCAGGGAAGCTCAATAAATTTGAACAGGAAATAGTTATCTGCTCTGCTGAAAGATTTGCTTCTCTGGCTCTTCTTTTCCCTGAACTGCTTCAATCCCAGCTGGTTGTTACAAGAACATAACAAATTTAAGAATGGGTACCTTAATTTACTTTTTTCCCTCATCCCTCCTTGTGTGTGTCAGTGGTAGTGGGGGGAGAGGGGGTTCATCTATTTTGGATTGTAAGCCAGAGGGTGGGGAATGGTGGGAGTGATGGGAGCCTCCAAATAAGGAGGGAGGGAGGAAGAGACTGGAGCAAAAATCCCAATTTACCTATATACTGATGGGGAGCCTAAGCACATGGGTCTCTTGGGGTTATATTGAATAGATGAATGAAAATATCAATATATAGTGTGCAGTGGTCTGAAAGAGGCCAATTTCATGTTAAGAACTGTGAGGAAAGGACTGAAAGCAGGTTAACAGTAGTGCAATTCCTTTATCCCAGATTGCAGAACCTTAGTACAGGGAGGTAAATCTGTCCTACCTGGGATTCCAGTCCATCTCTCCAGGGTTCCCCAGTTGGCTGTTCCTCTTTCCCCGGGTCCCACTCCTTTCTCCTGTTCATGCCCACCCACCCCTTTCCTCACCACCAATTGTCCAGTGGTTTCCCAGCTTTTGTGAAGTTTTCCCTCAGTTCTGAAAGGCTGAAAAGGGAAGAGCTTTAAGCAAAAACATGCTGGTATCTTCAGTCACTGGAATGCAGCTCCCAAGAGCTTCTCAGAAATGGAATGTGGCCCTCAGGATAAAAGAGGTCCAGTCCCCTTGCCTTATATATATCAATGATGCAGCACACTTGGAATGTTCATTTCATTATTTTTTGAGGCTGGCTTTAGGGTGGAATACTCACAAGGCTGCAAAGAAGATATTAATACAGATATATATAGTAGTACATATTCAGTTTTTTTAAAAAACCAAAGGTTACTAATAAACAACAGTAAAAACATCAGTGTTGTTGTTGCTGTTATGTGCTGTCAAGTCATCTCTGACTTATAGTAACCCTATGAGCACAAGCTCTCCAAAATGTTACGTTCATGACAGTTCTGCTTAGCTCTTGCAAATTCAAGAGACTGAGAGAACTGGGCATGTTCAGCCTTGAGAAGAGAAGACTGATGGGGGACATGGTATCCCTCTATAAGTAGCTCAAAGGCTGTCACAAAGAAGAAGGTCAAGATCTCTTCTTGCTGATACCAGAGTGTAGGACACAGAATAATCAGTTCAGATTATTCAGATTCAAGCTGTACAGGCTGGAAAAGCTTCCTCACTGTCAGGGCAATATGACAGTGGAACCAGCTGCCCAGAGAGGTGCTGGGCTCTCCCACACTAGAGACAATCAGAAAGAAACTGGACAGCCATCTGAGTGGGATGGTGTAAACTGGTGTCCTGAAACTGCAGGGGGTTGGACTTGATGGCCTTCATGGCTCCTTCCAACTCTACTATTCTATGATTCTATGATTCCAAGGCTGTAGCCTCCTTTATGGAGTCCAGCCATCTCATATTTGGTCTTCCTTTTCTTCCGCCTATGACTTTCCCTAGCATCCAGGAAATTTGGCCTTCTCACGATGTGCCCCAAGTATCACAGCCCTGGTTTTTTCATTTTTGCTTCTAGGCAATGTTCTGGCTTGATTTGATCTAGGAC